AAATTCACCAAACTATCCAAGTTTGCTTCAGAATTAGTAGCCACGGAACCGAGAAGAGTGAGACGGTTTATACAAGGACTAAATTTGGACATCCAAGAGGCGTTGGCAGCAGCGCAAGTGAATACATTTATGGAGGCCTTGAGAAGGCTCAACGAATCGAGAATGCAAAGGCACAAGTAAAAGCCTCCCAAACACGAAAAAGAGGTGTAGCTGGTAGTATGAGTGAGGAACCAAGTGAATCGATAGTCCCTTCCAAAACGCAGAAAACAAATCTTTTGTCCTACCCACCATGGACAATAGGGGCGGTAGATAAAAGGTCTACTAAAGTGAGCCAAATCGGACTGGGAAATTTCTCAAGAAAGCCAAAAGATGGCTTCTCACCTGACTTGTGGCTATTGCGGAAAGGCCAATCATACCGAGAACGATTGTTGGCGGAAAGGGCGGAAGTGCTTGATTTGTGGGAGTGGTGAGCACCAAGTTAGCAACTGTCCAAGGAGACAGTCACGCGGAGGTAGTATTCCGCAACTGGAGAGAGCTAAAACAAAACAAACAAATGAAAGAGGGAACCGAACTAGTGGGCCAGCAAAAGCTTCTGCGTTAGGCACCCAAACAGTTCCGGACTCGTCTGAGGCAAATGAAGGTAAAAATTTCGAGGACGAAATTTCTTTAAGGGGGAGAGAGTGTGAGGACCCGCACTATTCTTAATTGCACGTTTTCTGCATTTTCTTTATTAGAAAATTTTTCTAGATCAATTTTATGAGTAAATATAGTTTTTAAATGATTTTTCTAGTATCGGTTAGTTTTTGAGAAATTAAGAGCGTATATCGGACGTGGGACCCACTAGTGCGCAAAATTCGGAAAATTTGGCCAGTTAGGTTAAGTTTTGGATACTGGGTTTAATTTATCGGGTGTTATGAGATATTTAGAGGTACCAAATGGATAGGTGTGAGAAAGACAAAAAAAAGTTAGGCATGACATTAATGAGAGGGACAAGTGTCATGAAACCATTGGATGGGGACTTTGACTAACTTTTCTTAACTTTACTAAACATCCATTTTGACCAAATGTTTCTTCATTTTTCACCTTGTTGGCTGAAATTTTGAGGAGAGAAAAGAGAGGAAATCCTTCATCTTGTACTTCAATCCCTTACTCCAATCTTGATTTCTAACCATTAAAAGTGAAGATTACTCCATCAAAGTTACTTATTAAGGAGGATTAAAGCTTCTAGTGGAGTTGTTTTGGAAGAAAAATTCCTAAGTCATCACCTTTCTTGATATTTGAAGGTATCATGTCTAGCCATCCTTCCTTTGTTCTTGATTATGTTAAATTAATGACTTGTGATAGCTAAAGAGATGTTTTAGTGGAAAATTTCTGACTTGAATGCAAAAATTTCCAGTTAGGGTTTCATTTCCTCAATTCTGCCCGTTTCTGTTTGACCAGGTTAGAGGCGGAATTGGCCTTAGTACAAAACACGAAAGTTGTAGAGAATGATGTTTTATAGTTACCTGTAAATTTTCAGCTCAATCTGAGCTCGGTAGCCTATGAAAAGATCGAAATACCCCTGCTACCCTGTTTCTATCCGAGAATAGTAATCAGCTTTGGTAATTGGGTAGTTTGACTGGGAATACTACCGATTTGGTTGTCGATGTCTTCTTAAGAATTATAGCCTTGTATCTTAGCTTTCAAATGGCTTTGGAATCACTTGAATTGGAGTTGTATATGCTGAGATAATTTGGAAATACCCAGACTGGTCTAGGTAGGAGTTCAGCGAACAGGGTTGTCTTTTCACCCAATCTGACCGTGACTTTTCACCATGATCCTTACCGAATTAGACATTTGCCAAAACATGAACATTGTAGCCAATGATATAATCTAGTAGCCTACAAAATTTCAGCTCGATCCGACCACTGTAGCATATGAAATGATCGAAATACCCTTGACTGTCCATGAAACCTGTTTCGCGCCCAGAATTCTGTTTTTGTGTAGTTTTCCATTTCTGATCATGAAAATGCATGATTTAGCCATGGAGGTCTTCATAATAAATGTAGGGTTGTGTTTTATCTTCGAAACACCATAAGATACACTTCAATCGGACTTCGGTAGCCTCAATTATTGCTGTTTAACAATTGTGCGGTTAGCCAACCTGTTTGTGAGATTCTGGTTTCATATATGTCAATTTTGACCTAGTTTCACTACAAACTGGACTGAGTGGCCTTCTTCAACATTGTAGCCCTATCTGTTAGCTTCAAAACGGTGTGTCTTGCACCTTCATCCGATAATCGTAGCGCCAATGGTGCCAAAACCGTAAAATGGTGTCAAAAACTGTTTTTATCCGGAAATGTTTCTAGTTTGATTTTTGTATTTATTTTTGTATTTATATGACTTTAAGCCTAGTGAATGGATTTTGGACATGAGATTATTCTATATGAGATGTTGGGACTATTTTGAGGAAAATAATGAAGCCATTAATGGCTGGAAAATAGGTAAACACAAGGGACATGCCATCCGTTTATCTTCTTGTAATGTGAGCAAGTTAAAGTGATTTTACGAATGTATTTTGTGACGAATTGGACGTATTTACTGAAAACGTTACCGGCTCTTTCAAAAGGTGGCCGAGGGCTAAATTTCTATTTGAACCTGTATATTTCCGCTTGGCAAATAAAATGATCATTTTACCATTCTAAAATCTAATACCTCCTTGGGTGGAAATTCCAAACGTTTACTTACTGTTTACCAAAATATAGAGGTTGACCTAGGGTTCTCTCGGCCACAAGTGAATAACTTTTAAGTGAAGTTTTAAGAGTGAAAGTGAGATAGTTTTGCCACATTTATATGATTTTCATCTAAACATATAGTCTATTGATTTTGAGCTACATAAACGATTGCGGAAACAATACTTCTTAGCTTACCTTATTGGATTTCGATTTGTCGTTGGTTAAAGTGTTTTCTGCCGGAAATTTCATAACCTTTTTGAGTTTAGTTTCACGGTTGGTTTATGAACCCTAGTAATTCCCGTCCACGGATCCAAATGCTCTATTGACACTTTAAAAGTCATTTTATACGTTTACTCGCGAGTAGTCGGGTAATCCTTGATTTCATCCAAATCATGCTAGAGGGATTGTAATGTGTTTTTTTTTTGTTTACTTTTAGGTTTCATTGGTGATTGAGAAGTGGACGTTATTTTGCGTGTATAGGTGAGTGTTCCCTGTTTGATATGTTTCATGATTATATAGCTGGTATGAATGACTAATAACATGTTATATGCTTTCAATGATTGTTAAAACGAGCTTTCTAGGCAAGTGTGTACTTTATCGCACTCGGCCTAAATGATTGTGAAATTTTCAATGATTGAATGATTGGAATGTTATTTGTGCATGAATGTAAGCCTTTTGGTTGAACTGGCCACTGCCCCTTGTCACCGGTCGTCTCGAGCCAGAAGCGGATTCGGTCGGGCGATTAGGGACCTGGGTGAACGTTTGGTATGCTCGAGCATTACCTTGTATGTTGGTGGAGGTTGGTGGAGCCTGGTGAATGAATGAATGAATGAATGAACGAATGAATGAATGAGGGTTTTACTTATATACAAATGCAATTTCAAATGATTGAAGGTATAAGGGAACGAAAGGAGAATGAATGAATGAATGAATGAACGAATGAATGAACGAATGGCTCCTTGTGAGCACGTATCCTTTTAATGAAGGTGTTTATCGCTTTCTTTTGCATTTGAATTATTGGTAACATGTAATGAATGCATTGAACTTCTTGTTGCCTATGTGTTCGGAACCTCACTGAGCTTATAGCTCACCCCTTTAGTTTGTTTTCCTTAACAGGGGAAGGCGAGCAAGGACGAGAGCCGGTATAGACTAGCTGGGTCTAGCCCTTGGTTTTCTTTTGTCATGGTTCTCGCCCTAGTGCTTGGCACGGGTTAGTTGTATGGTGATTTGAGAACCTCTGTATATTTGACGGTTGTACTTCTTCTTGAGATATTATTGTATATACGTTTTGTTTTAAGTTGGATCGTGGTTAGATATTCTTATGGTTGCTTGAAGTGATCGACTGAGTCCCGGCGAGAGTTGGGCAGGCAGTCCGCCGAACCCTTTGGTTCGCCTTTGGGGAAAGTGGGGCTGTCACAAGGATCATTCATTCTCTAGAATCAATTTTCCTTTTTTCTCTAGGTAGTGGTGGTGGGTGGTGGCGTTTAAATTTTAAAATGGGTCTGTTTAACGGGTGTCCTATGCACTCGCTAAAATATATTTCCAGTATCATATTTTTTAAAATGTAAGATTAATTAGAAAAAGTAAATAAATACAAGGTAGTGTAGGTAAGATTAAATAGGAAGAGTATATAAATACAAAAGAGGGTAATAATTGTTAGTATGTATATGATAATTTAAGTGAATATTAGATATGTTAACATGTGTCCTATAGGCAGCCGTTACAAAACCCCCTTTTAAAATGTATCTAAAAAAAATTTAAATTCTAAAAATACTTCAAAATGCATTCCTAGTCTTGAACCTCCAAAAGAATTAGGAATGACAATGGATTGGCTATCCTTCAAAATCTCTCTTAATAAATCCTAATTTTTAACCTGCTTATCTAAATACTCTCTATGGGTGTCCTTTTAGCTTTTTCCACAGGATAGTTGAGAAATGCTTTGCCTGGCAAGGGGTACTTTCCATCTCTATCATAGTTAAGTTGCTTGAAATCTCACTCTTGGCAATGATTACTCGAGTGTAAAATTTGAGAACATCTCAAACTTACTAATTGGCTAAATTTAATGTAATACTGTTGCCATTCCCACAAAAAGGGGGGGGGGAGAGAGAGAGAGAAGCCCGATTGAAAGTCACTTGTAAAGGTTTTATTGAAAAGTTTGCAAGGACACCAGTTATCATTGTTGAAATTATTTGGTAAAACATCTTCTCAAAGTTTGTAGTTGATTACAATATTATTACACAAACACCCAATATTGTACATGTAGTATTTGCAATGCTATTAATGCATTTAAGATTTAGGAACAAAGGTAATCTCGATACCTCCTATGGTCACAGCACCTCTTCTGGGGACCAAAGTGACCAAAATGCTGTCAAAATCATCAGCTCCCAATTCCTCCAGCACCTCTGAAATCGCAAAACACTGGGAAGTGGTAGATTTCATGCTATGTCCATGCGCCAAACTGTTGAAGCTTCCTAGAGACTCAGCCTTGCACGGATTACTCTGACTGGTATCATCTTCGTTCACAAACACATCGAACACCACAGTTTCTCCTTTATCAAATTGGATTCCCTTAATCTTCAGCACCTCTTCTGCCTCTGCTTTCTCTTTTCCACTCCTTGACTTCTTAGGCCGCTCAACCACGAAGCTGACGGGTTTCTCTAATTGCATTGGCATCACTTCACTAGCCTTAGGTGCGGACTTTGTCGGGTTCAGGCCCCTTCTCCGCGCTTTTGGCTTACAATCTAACCAAGAAAGTGGCAAGTCAGGATAGGTATATCCAAGCTTGGCGAGATTTGTGGAATCTTTAACCGTCACTCTAACGGGTCTCGCCGCCTCGTTGAAGAAAATAAAAGAGGAATTTAACCAATCTGGGTCTTCAATATTTTTGCATTTCAAAACATTGTCATAAATGTACCACATTCTATCAACGTTGGCATGGTGAGCATAGAATATAGGGTCTCGGCCGGCTGCATATAAGACGCCCATGTCCTCGTTGTTAGGCTGGGAAGGGTCGCCAACCCAATCGTGCACACAATTGTGGGGTATATTTTCAATGGAGCCCGCTCCGGGATCGGGATCATTACCCCCCAAAAGTGGCTGTCCGAAAAAACACTCAGGCGTGGACGACTGAGTGATCATTTGAGTGTACATTGTGCAACAATTGTACTGGATTTGAATATTGGGGTCGATTGGCAAATCTGTGCCGTTGTAAGCTAAATCCACCACTTTAGGAGGCAAGTGTTTTGGGTTGCGGATGCAATCGTATAGGGACAATTTGCTGTCGTTAAACATGGATGGAATTTGCATGCCTGAAGAATCATCCCATTGCCAAAATGGCAAAGTAAACGTATCATCATCAAGCAAGTTTTTACAAATTCTTTCAAAGAAATAAAGGTACCATCTGTGCCACGGAAAAAAAAGCCATGAGCTATGAATCTCCAATTTTTTGTCTGGAAAGCCCAATTGAGGGTACCCTTCGTCACAATACACGCAATGGACGTTTGCCTGTTGGTAAAAATTACGAGGATCGCTCATAGAAAGGTTCTTCATTTTTGTAATGGCAGATGAATATTTTTTGACATAGTCATGGCTGACCGCGTGAGCCGGCATTCTTGTGTAGACTTCACTAGCAGAAGGTGTATAATCATTGTAACCCGCGGCGGAGGGAGGGCAGCAGTTGATAGGTATGCCATTTCGGGTCTCCGTGGCTTCGGTACAGTTGAAAATATCGGGTGAAACTGGCAGCGCAAGGCTTGATTGTTTGGTGCCGAGCGTGGTTGCAGCATATAACCCGCCGAGGCCAAGAAGGACATCCCTTCTTTCAAATTTCCCTGCTGAAGTTTTACCACATTTGGATTTGGATGAACTAATACTGTCATCAGTACTAGGGTTTTGATGATGGTCTGCCTTTTGGGCTTTACATGTGCTAGCTTCTGCATGGGATTTTTGGTTTGTTACACGAGTTGCCCGGAACGGGTGAGAAAAGAAGCCAGGGGAAGATGAGTAAATTAAAGGTTTTAAGGAGAAAGAGCTAACTGGGGTAGGATGGATAGGGTGAGTCAAGGAAGGAAGGGAAAAGAAAGCCATGGCTAGATTTGAAGTTTGGGTGCAGTTTGAGTAACTGGCCAGGTCCCTTGCGTCCTTTTATATAAGGTTTAATCGGTGTTTGCGTGAACAGATCATCTACATCCGTCCTTTTCTGTTTCTTGTACACATTTCCATGCACAAATATAATATGAATATAGCTTAGTCTAGTTTCTGAGATTTTTTTTTTCTCCGTGTGGCCAGATTCCAAAAATTTCATCCTTATCTAAGGACGTGATGTAAGAACAATTGCACCAAAAAAAGTGATGTAAGAATGATCCATAAAAATTTCATTTTACCGTGAAAGAAAGATCAGCAATGATGGCAATGATTGAAAAATCTGGATGCACAATGTCGGCAGGGTAATTAGCATCTACTGTAATATCATGTACAAACAAATGATAGAAGGAGGTTTCCTCTCGTCCGCTAGGGTTAGAAGCGAAGAAGATAACAAGTACGTGATACAATTTACCATAACCTTTTCCTTCATTTCTCAAAATTAACTACTGAGTCCAATGTTGTTGTATTCAGTAAAATCCTATTGGCACTAACAAAAGTTGGTGCGTCAACTTAGCCCTAACACCTATGCACTATTTTTCCCCACAAGAACGAGTTGCGTATTAAGGTTTTTTCGTAATCTCGTTTTATCTCATTTTTATTGATTTATCTCCTTAGTTACCACAAAACTACTTAAAATCCAAATTCAGGAAGTCAAACCGACCTTGTTTGGGCTACAAATGCTATACTTATATTAATTTGCTATTAATTAGTTTATGATACTTTGTCATTTGATCAAACTGATCCTTTAGACGAATTCATTTCTTTTGTGTCACCTCTAACATATTATCCACTATTAGAAGTTTTTGTTTTAGGCGTTCTAGATAATCTATCAATGATTTAAAATTTTTTACAATTTTGGGGTTTGTCAAGCTCAAACAGGAGGATCCTTGTGCACATTGGAGTAGGATAACCTTCAATTTTTTCCTTCAGTTTATAAATCTCACGAATTAAAAATAAAAAATAACATTCAAGTGGCATTTCAAGTTTTCTGATTCCTTCTGCGTCTTCAAACAAATCAAATCTCTCCTTATATTTCAGCCTTAATACTTATTGTTCATTTGTTTCAGCTCGAATAACGGATTGAAAGCTTTAAGGACTGCTGCGAGAATATTCTCCCATTTCGCTTTAAATACCATTCTTCCATGTGCATTTTTATGCGGTAAATGATTATGATATTGATGATAGCCTTCAACAAACATGACAGAGTCAGTCCAAGAAACGAGACTCCCTGGTTCATTATCAAACAGCTCTTTATCTGGAAATTTACGTTGTTTTCCTCCGTCATCTGTGCTAAGAGCCCAACTCCCCAGGAGGGGGGGGGTGGGGGAGGAGGAGGGAAAAAGATATGAATTTAGATCCCATGAAAAAACATACATAAAACTCTGAAACTCTTCAAGTACAAAGGTAATTAATTGAACCCTAAATGCACACACAGATATCGAATAAAACACACATAAATAATAGTACTGCGAAACTCTTTAACTTCAACGGTAATTGAACCCCAAATGTACCTGCAGATATTGAATAACACAACACAAAATTCATTGGTATGAGATTGCTAGGATATTGGAGTAGTTAATTAAGACACACAATACAAAATATTAAGAAAAAGATGAACTAAATAACATTAAGAAGAAGACCACAAGGCTGTTGCCACAATTTTCTTTTCTTTCTTTTTTTGGTTGGTTTTTTTGACTGTTGCTCCAATGCAAAGATAAGGTTTTTGAAGGACCGAATCATGGTCAACCTTGGTTGTGGTATGCTAGAGACAAAGGGATTCTACCTAATTCTTCGGGATAGATGTTTCTTTTGTCCTATATTCTACCTAATTCTTCGGGATAGATGTTTATTTTGTTCTATAATCCTATAGGACAAATTTCCATTCCAAGTCTCCTTCAATCTTTCTCATGGCGAAGTCTTTGTGGAAAAGGATGGTGCATGTGAAACACGTTTCCACGTTATTCACGGGAAACGTTATTCACGTTTCCTTCAATGGTAGATTGCGAATTCCTGATCACCATGTTGGTGATCAGGAAGATCATGAATTCACAATATACTATTGTATATCGATTTGTTACAAGAAACGAATAGAAATCTAATAAATCAAGCCAAATCTAGCATTGACACTTCTTTTCTCCTAAGCAAATGCCATTTATGTAGCTTTTCCTACCTTACAAATGTTGCCAAAAATGTCTCAGATTATATTGACACTTAGTTTTTCCTCGTTCCGGAAGTATATTTCACAGTCTGAGCATGCTTCTTTTTTTTTTATGTTTTTCCTGCAATGTCAATTATTTCATTTCTTGCTATCATTTGTTTAGGATTTGAGAATCTATTCAAATCAGTTACACCACCAGGCATTTTTTTCCTGGAAGTACAGGACAGTTTATGAAGCCAGCATAGGAATCAGACCAGCAGAAAATCCATGATAAAGAGGAAAATATCCGCGAATGTGTCTAAAATTCAGAGGGTGAAAATACCTAAAATATAGAAATAAAGAAATAATATAATGATAGACTAGTGAGAGATACAAGAATATCACTTTTCCTTCATTACCATGATAGACTAGTGAGAGATACAAGAATATCACTTTTCCTTCATTACCATTTTAGGATTTTTCAACTGAATCGTTTATATGTAGGAATATCTTCCAGAATCACTTTTCCTTCATTACCATTTTAGAGGAAAAAGATCGAGAAGGAATTCATCTTCTCCTAGCAAGAAGTGTAAATGAATCTATCAGGAGTTTGAGGGTGGAAAATTGCACAAATATCCATTGCTTCGTTAGGTATATTTTGCAGTACAGATAGTTTAGCCATTCATTAACTTTTAATGCCATTGATTTCACTTTGTGGATCCCCAAGTTGGTGAAGTTCATATTTCCTCAGCGTCTAAGCGATCAATTGATTTCAAGCCTTCGCAAAGGCTGCAATTTTGCCTGGGAATTTGGTTTCTCTGAGAACAATGAAATTGCACATTTGAGTGCGCTGTCAATAAATGTGAGAGACATGGATGTCTTACTAAAGAGACGTAAACCTGATATAGCCTCAATTCAGTCCATGGAATCTGGATTGTCTTTTTTTTTTTTTTTTTGGATAGGAAAGACTTGCATAAAATAAAAGGAAAGGTTACAACTTAGCAATGTATCTGGGGAAACAGACTCCCCTCAAATAATCAAACAAAATAGATCCTAAGCTGAGAGGACAGGAATCTAGAAGTGAAAAGGGACACAAAAGCTTTTCACCCAACTTTGCTAGTGCATCTGCTCTTCTGTTTGCCTCTCTGTAGTTGTGCTTTACTTGCACTTGCTGGAAATTAGAGAGAAGGTACCTGCAATCATTTAAGATAGGGGCAAGGTCATGACCTTCAGGAATTAAAGTGTTTAGCATATTAAGGACAACTTCACAGTCGCATTCAGCAATCAAACGTTGGATATTCAACGATCTTGCGATTTCGAATCCATCTCTGATGGCCCAACATTCTGCAATCAGATTGTTGGTGAGGCTGAGCTTTCGAATCGACCCTTTAATCCAAGTACCAAGATGGTTTCTTATCAGGGTCCCGCATCTACCAAGACCAGGATTGGGTGAGCAGGATCCATCAGAATTCAGTTTAAGCCATCCTCTAGGTGGTGGAGCCCATCCAATGAGGGCCTGGCTATTGGGTAGGGGAAGCGGAGAGCGGCTTGGACCAATAGCGACAAATTCAGCAGCCAGATTTAAAGCCTGAATGTGAGGGAATTTCCAAGCTCTAATGGGTTCGAATTATTGTTCCAGAGTACACAACAAGAGAAAGCAAGAATGACGTTCCAAGACGTAGGGGGAAAGGGAGGAATTTTTGCAGTTCTGAAGGAGCCAAATGTTAAAAGGTTTCCAAGGGTGGTGAAGGAAGGGAGGCTGGATTTTATCCCAGAACTCTAAGGCTCGGGGACATCCTCTTACCATATGTTCAACATCTTCTGAGAAATGGTTACAGAAAGGACAAGAGGTGTCAGGGATGATATGCTGGTCGAAGAGGTGTTGCTTGGTGGGAATTCTCTGTTGGGCTAACAACCTAAGAAAGTGTTTAATTTTTGTGGGAACATGCAGAGACCAGATCCATGAGAGATTTGACGCAGTTGGGTCTGGGTATTTTTGCAGAAAAGCCAGGGAGTAGGTAGATTTGAAGGAGAAGCTACCATTAATGGAAGGTCCCCATCTAATGGTATCAGGGGTGGGGTTGTAATTCTGCCATGGGATGGCAGAAATCCTTTGGCTTAGATCTTGAGGAAGTGCCATAGACAAGGCTTCCAGATTCCAGTCATGAAGGGAGTTGTAAAGGTCCTTCACAAGCATGGAATGGTCTTCCAAAGTTAAAGGCCCTTGGATCAAGGATCTGAGGGTACCTTGGGGAAGCTATTTATCATGCCAAACAAATGTATTTTCTCCACTTTTGATAACTTTAGAGCTGCCAGCTTTGAACAAGGGGAGGCCTTGTTGAATGCATTTAAAATTTACCGAGCCTCTACGTCTAACAGGATTCCAATCAAGGAATGGGGTGGTACGGAAGATGGGTAGGTATTTGCGGGAGATGATTTGTGCCCAAGGTTTTGTGGTTTCTGTGTGAAGCTGTCAACAGAATATAGCATCGAAGCCTTATTAATTAAGGCAGTTTGCGTGACTCCCAATCCTCCCAGGTCTTTAGGTTTGGTAATTTTGTCCTAGGAGACTAGGTGAAGCTTCCTCTTTTGAGTAGTAGAGCCCCAAAGAAAGTTTGTTGCTCCTTGTCAATGTCATTACAGAGAGAGGCAGGAAGTGGGGGTGCATTGGGAGTAGTAAACAGGAATGGCAGCTGTAGTTTGTTGGATTATGGCTTTCCTTCCAGTAAGAGAGAGGAGGCTTGCCTTCCATCCTGAGAGTTTTTTTTACCTTGTCTAAAATGAAGTTTAGCTGGTTTCTGCTAAC